TACTTTGGCTAGAATAAATAATTTTTTGAATGCCTTTTTTCTTAAAAATAAATGCCTTTTTGCTTGCCTAAAATAATTGCCTGAACTTCCGGGCACTAATTATTAGTGCAGGCGAATTTCATTGTTAAATGCAGCTGAAAATCAGAGTACAAACCCTTCACACAAATGTAAACCTCCCAAAACATTGTAATATAATTAATTTGAGTCACTGCACTACAGCAAAATATATTAAGAGAAGCTGTTTTCTTACTGACTGCACAAAAGGAGCAAAATTTTTCACACAAAAATATTCCAATATTACCCAAAAACTGCCTGCTTCAGTTCAAGAAATTTCAGTTTACCACTAAATTATGTTTTTAATGTAAATCAATACAGTGTAAGGGCAGACTCTTTTAAAGTAGGCGTAGATTTATGTCAAAGTTGTTTTAGTGATAGATATATGTATTCTCAAGTGAGTGATTCTTCACAACTATTGGTGCTTGCTTTTGAACATAAAACCAAAATCAGTATATAAAGAAACTATACTCTAGATATCATTAATCTAAAAAAATTGTCAAATAATTATTTTCAGACTTTACTTCTACTTTTTTTTAATTAACCTGTCTAAATTAATTCAAGACTCCATGTTAAGTTGCAAGTACATATAGTTTATTAATATTTAATATCAATGTCAATTAAACAAACCAGTTGCTAGCAGATTCTGAGATAAAAGGTTAGGAAAATATTTTCAATTTTGGAATTACAAACATTTCTTATGGAATAAAATGATTACATTGTATAACAAAGAAATTTGATTATCGATAAGGTTTAATTGTTTTTGAAAAGCACATATTTTCCTTATTATAGGATGGAAATAATGATTTTTGAATAAGGTCATGTTGCTGAACAGGGAAATGCAAAAGTAATAATTGCTAAAAAAAAAAAATTATTCAATTAGTCTTTTGTGCAGCATAAGTTTAGTAAGAAAAAAAGAAAAAGAGTAAGAATTTTTGAGGAGATATTGAAACGTGTGTGGAGTAAGTGATTCAGTATTTTTAGTTTTGAGATCTTTCAATTTCATGGCTCTATGCCCACTTGTAATGTTTTTAATTCATATTAGTTAAAAAATCAAACAAGCAACAAAAAAAAATTTTTTTTTTTTTTTTTGTGATCAAAAAAATTTCACTTTCATATTCACTTCACATAGAAAAGTTAGTTGTAAAAGCATTTCAGATGTTTTAAAATGAAAAGTTAATATTTGCGATGTTTTATTACCCAACCCCCAAAAAAAGAGTAAAGAAAGCTGTTTACAAATATAGTGCCCAAGCGCTGTAAAAAAGTTCAAAATACTTAAAACAAGATTTTAAATGTTTCTCAATTTATCTTTAATTATTTTTGCTACAAAACAATAGTAGATAATTAATATAATTTTCAACAAGTAAAATTGAAGCGCCTATGTATCTATATATCATACTTGTGTAATTACACGAGTATAATTATATTTGCATTAATTTTTTCTCTTAAATATGTCACTTTTGAGCTTTTTATAAAGTTTGAATAAGTAATATATTTGTTACTGAACTTTCAGTCTTAGTATTAAACACAACTGATTTAATAGTTTTTTTCTGTCTAAAGTTGAAAAAAAAATTTGATATTTCTCCAAGTTCTTGACTGTCATGTCATCCATGAAAATGCACTTCAAAAGCTAAAAGTTCTTTTTCAAACATAATATCTTAAAATATAGATTTACATCTCAAATTTCAAACTCTGTACTTAACTTCTAATGCCTTCTCTTGGCACTAAATTCAGAGATTGTTGTGTTCTGAATTCATTGCAATAACTCTACAAAGTTAGAATGTAAGCTTTCAACACACACCCAGATGTTTTCTTCTTCTTCAGAAAGGATCTTATGGATTTTGAACCACGACTTCTGGGTTTCTAGAATTCTGTCTGGATTTATTATTTGCAATTTCTTTGAGAAAAAGACTATTAATGTCTCATTAACAAATTCATGAAATTCATAAATATAAACATCATTAAAGCAGCTTATAATTAGAAATGTTATTTCTATGCATACACATATTTTTTCTGTGAACTAAAACTTCTTTTTCAACAAATGTTACTTGTTATGAGACATTTCACAATTCAAATTTATAATATAAAAGATGTAAATTTTTCTGTATTTAGAGAAGAAATTTAATAATCATTAAGCAAACAACTTCATTAAGTTGAGCTAATAACATACGTTAATAAATTGGTGAACTTTAGTTAAGTGTTACAAAACACGTGGGATAATGTTCAGCGTTACTGTGAATGTCCTGTATCAATAGTCTTTCAATTATATTTTCTTTTTAAATATTATTTATTCAGAAATTAAACAGTTTTATGGTTAAAGTCATGAGACATAACTAGAGGCTAGAAGTTTGGCCAAATGCCTTTTAGTTATTGTTATAATTTCATGACTTTTAACAATGGGAATAACTTAATTCTACTTCTGGAGTGGTGACAGACTTGTTCCCATATGAGAAATTCCATTTTATTTCTGTGTTTGGCCTCTGATCCCTTTTGAAGACAGATCTGTCTGTACATTATATACCCTTCCCAGTACCTTCTTGTTCTCTCTTCCCTTCTGGTGATTACACAAGAGCGAAGAACAAAGTCTATAATTCCTTTTTCACTGATACTATTTCAAGATTAAAAAGTGAGTTCACAATAGCAAATGCGTGGAGACAGCATCAAAAGTAAAATTAATTTGTCTTTGTCATGCCTGTTGGTCATATATAATCAAGATTACAAAGAAAAGGAAGTTTCCTTCTACATAAGTGCTAACGTAAATTTTAGCATTAGAATAAAAATGTGAATAATTTTAATTATTAATTTCTGTACAATAATTACTTTGAAATGGTAATTTTTCAACGTTTCCTATGTTTTTACCTCTTACTTCATCCTGAATAACTGCCTTTTGGCTTGCGTATTTTAGGTAAAGTAAATGCTTGAACTTCTGGAACCTAGTCATAAAACTTAAATTAACTCATATTAACATTTAATTTACACACAAGATACATGGTACTGAAATTTCAAAATATAAAACAAAATTCAAGCAGCTACAATATAATATTATATTTATATACATGTATTATGTTTCTGAGTTATGCATTAAATATTTAATACAAGCATACTGCATACTGCTTTTCATACGTTTGTATTAAAATTAATATTATTTGAACAAAATGAATTTGAAAGAGTATGAAACTGTCATTTAAAATTTTTATAAAAAATACTTACCCTCAAATTTGCTCCCAATAAAAAATCAAAAATCCCGTCTCTGGTCTCTGACATTTCAGTCCTCCCCCCTATCCATTGTGCAAACCACAATCAAGGTAAACTGTCCATGGGAGAAGACACTAATACCAGGAAGCTGCATTCATAGCAGTGAACTAATTACTCATTTACAAGCAAATCACATTGTTTTAAAGTTTTCAATTTTTAAGTTACTTGACTTTTGTTTTCTGAATTTTATTAAAATTCAGAGGAAAGAACATTTTTACAGGAAACATTTTATTTTCTGGATCATCATTTCTGTATTTTCTGCATCATTAAATGTATCTCCCATTATTTTACAGGAAATGAGGTAAGCTTTTTTAAAAAAATTAGGTATACTTTAATATAATTCACTTGTAAGCTAACAATTTATATATGCTTTCATTACCTTTTATTTCACTGTGCTTCTTTTTTCTAAATTACATCTTTTTACATATTTTCAGTTTTTAATTGCATGTTACTAAATACATTTTCATATATGCAAGCATAGTTTGCTTTTTACATTACATATAAATCACAATACTTCTTATAATTTTTTCAGAAGCCAAAAACAAAAATGGAACTTAATAATTTTTAAATTCTTAGGTTTTTCCTATTTATTGCTAAGATTTTAATTCTACAATAAAATGTACATTAGCTTACTTTTCTTTAACACTCATGTGAATGAAAAGTAATAAATATTGGTACTAAAAATGAAAAAAAATTAATGTGAGGTAATATTAATTTTAGTTAATTTTAATTTTGTCAAGTCCTTCATACTGAAAAATGATTTTTTACTGCATTATCAACTCTACTAACAATTCTTTAAAAATTGAGAAATTAATAAGTGTTCTTTAAAACATTCTCATGATACTTGGTTTAGAAAAAGGAGTTTTCTAAAGTTTGTAATACTAATAAGTTCTGTGCTAAAAGAAACAAAACTTAAACCAAATGGTACTTCAAATCTTGATTCTTAAAATAGCATGTCTTCTATTAACTAATGACTTTATGGCTATCACTTTCACTTCATTGCATATTTAATTAGGTTAGGTTAGAACCAACAGGTTCAACTATTAGTTTACACTTTCAACATAATTTATTTTCAGGAGACCCTAGTTAAAGCATGAAATGTCTTTGAAAAATTTTTAAGTAAATATATATCAATAAAGAAGAAATTTAGTGTAGAAACTTTTCATGTTTTGTAATAGAAAATTATTTATTTCGATCAAATTTACTTAAATTCTACTCTTAATTTCACCTCAGATATGTTCAGCTGTATCAACATGAATATTTCATGAAGAATAATGAAATATTTGAAGAACAATGAAGAAATGAAAAAAAATGTTTTGCATGGGGAAATTTGTTGAATATTGTTTATTTGTTTTTTAACTAGTTACCTCTAAAAAAGTAACAAGATTATCAAGAATGTCTATTCAAAAAGTGACACTTCTAATTTAGTGATCAATTTATATTCACAAATGAACAACTCATGAATAGACAGAAACTTTGAATGTACCCATTGAACATTTAAGCAGCTCTTAGAAGTTATCTTCCAAATGATATTTTACTGTAATTAATACAAAAATAGTGTTCAATTATTTACTGCATCAGCTACTTTCTGATTTGTATTGCCCGCCACTGAAAGTATTAGTTTTTCTTTGTAATTCTGGGTAAAAAAAGTAGACATATTCTTAGAGAATAAACGGTTGTGCAACCTGACACATATAAACTCTCTGCATATAAACTTTGAAACAAGACGCATGAAGGTGTGCCTGGTGCCGTTGTTGTGGTTGTTTTGTATTGTAGTCGAGGAGAAAAGCGGAATTAGTTTGACTGTTGTCAGTGAATTATTTGTGCGTGAATATGGACGTTGTAATGTTGAAATTGTGATATGTTTGGAATCTGATGAAGTTTCTGGATACGTCCGACAATCATCTTTGAGAAAGGTACGTACTTCTCTTAAAAGTCGATTATGCCTTTAATATTGAGCATGTTTATACTTATTTTTGAGTAATTTATTTTTAATGCATTAAAATGATGTTGAGAGTACTGTTCGAGAGACATTATAATTGAATACAGAATCACGAGTTGTCAACATGTGGAGAAAAGGTTATGTTATATGTTTGAGAGAAATTTCTTTTGACTGAATATATTGGTCGTGGCTGTAGTACGAAAACATTATTCTTATTTGTAAATCGACTTCTCTTGGAATAATTAACTGGAACTTAACTATGCCAAATGGTATGATATTTTTGAAGGACAGTGGCCAATAATAGTTGGTAATTGTGAATTTGATAGTTAGTTGACTTACAGATTCGCTATCAGTTAATAATTCACTGCATTTCTTTGTTTTTCTCTCTCCTCTCTCTTTCTGACAATACTGGTTGTGTTAGTGTAAGCGCATACATCTAATGAAATTTGTTCATTGATCAAATTTCAAAATGATATTCATTATCTAGAGTGTTTGCAATTGAGTGCAAGCAAGAAACTGCAGATTATTTATTTATTGTAATTTGTTTGCATTTCCATGTTAAAACTTGTGTTAGATGGTATATTTTGTAAGGTTAAATATACACTTACACTTTTTTGTTAATAAAAATGAAACAAAACATTATTTCTAGACTACATATGAACAATATGTATCTAATATTTTTATCATAAGTTGTATTTAAAAATTAGTATTTTTCATTAATGCTTCATATTGTTCCAATTTAATTGATATTTCTGGTTGCCAATTAAATGATTTTATTAAAAAAAATATTTTGAAATGTCAGTTGCCTTGAAAGGTCTGGAAATATGTTAAAATCCTCTTATTTAGAATCCATAGAGTATGAAGTTTTAGAGTGATGTGAATTTTGCTCAGAGAAAACTGCTAACATGTGTATTTACAGAGTATGACACATTGTTGACATTTGGGTCACTTCTTAAAGTGTTCAGCTAACCCTTTGTATTAACTTGGTGCTTAGAATCCATTGACAATTGTCCAATTCACCAGGAAATATTTTGTAGGTAAAATTTATTTATTATACTTTTTTTAAAATATTTTTTGAGTATAATTTGAATGGGTTTCTATAACTTAAATATTTTTTCCAACAAAAGACATTTTTATCAGCAGTAGGTTGATTAAGTTGTAAATTGCAAATTTAATTAAATAAGAATTTTGTACGGTTTTAGTGTCGATTATTTTTCTCCGTATTTTCACCTTAATGGAATTTAGAGGATAACATAAAATAACAGATTAAGATGCGAATCAGGTTTATTAAGTAGTTCGAGCAATCCCTTATTGGCGAGCTAATAGTCTTGTTTCGTCTATTGTGTGTTGTGCGTGTCATAAGGTGAGGTTACATGGCACGCAAAAAAGGAAAAGAACGTCAGTAAATACGACGCTGCGCTTTGTTCAGTGGCTACTGAGGAGCTGTGGCCCCTAGCTACCGTTATGTTCTGATGAAACGGATGTTATTGCTGTTTGAATTTTTATTAACAGTTTATTTACTAAAGTTTTTAAGTTAACTTCCCTCCTTTTAAGTTAATATGCATTCCTAGAAATGCATACCCATATAATAGTACTTTAATAATCACATGCACATATACCTACCCACTAGTTACAATAGCACATCAGTGCTCTACAGTAGACATATGCCTACACGTAGACGCATTCATTTACATCATACATTTACATACATCACGCGCTCACATACATTCATACATACGTCACACAATAAATCAAGTCCTAATGACCTTCGAAATGAAATAATCGGATTAGTGATTTCTTGTTTTCGTATATTTCGGTATCAATAATTGAAATTTTCTGCTCATGTAATAAGCGATGTACCGACAATAAACTTTTGATTGTATATATGCCTGATTCACTTTGGCGAAGTCTTGGACACAATGTATCAGGAAATTATTTTTTCACCCGTTTCATTTGATAATTTTGACGGATTATTAGAATGTATTGAAATTCTCAACAAGCGCATGCTTTTTTAACGCAAATCCTTCTCTTTAGGAATGAATAACATTCTCGTACCGCATTTCCTTTTTTCCTTTTCTGATGTCAGATCGTAGATTTTACTCGGTATACAGGAAATATTGCAAACTTTCACTGTTCGCTGTAGCATTTCCAGAGCATGAAGTTCGACGACGTTGGTTGTATCTCTGCAGTTGTGCCAACATACTCGGTATATAAACTCGCAAGTGCTAATAATAAACAATGCTAATGATGATTTTACTTCGCACGTTTCTACAAATTTGTTTCTTTTTTCTTTCTTTTTTTTTCTTCTTCTTCTTCTTCGTCAAATTCATACATTTGTTTGCGATTGGTATTGTTTGCGATTGGTAACTGTATTTGGTAACTTATTTCCTTAGTTACAATTGTTTTTGTAAATGTACAATGTATTTGAATAAAAATGAAATCATAAAGCGACATAAACCACTAAAATACTGGCCCAACAAGTAAAATGAAGATTTGAGATGAACGTGTTTAAAGTTCTAGCTGACTATTGAAAGTACTGGTATCGCACGCTTTAACCTGGGCTGAAGAGTATTTTTAAGAAGCTTAATGTGAATAATAATAATTACTATTAATACAAAAGCTGCAAAATAATGGTCATTACTAAAAAAAATCGTGTGTTTGAGTTGAGCCTGTGTTGCAGTCCATGAACTGTGTACTCAGGGTAATTGCCAATTGGCCCGTGAGATGTTTTCTATTCCGACAGTATTATTTTATTATAACTTCGCCAAATTCTGACTTAAGTTTCATTTTATTTATGTTGTTAAAAAAACAAAATACCTATGTGACGTATGAGAAAGGAGTACATATAATCAGCGCACGTCTTGAGCTCCAGTCCTACAGTCCTTCCTATCCTACAGTCCAAGTTCGAAAAGTGATGACAATTTACGTTTTTAGGATAAGTGCCAATTAATAATTTACAATGGAAGTTTGTGTTCCATGGAGCATTGATAGTTTATGGAATTTCCGTTTCCTTTTAAGATGGCCATCGGGAAAAGTTAATCTATTATACATTTAATTAATACATTTTCCCAAATTAAATTGTTCATGGCCAAGCTTTTAGTTTGTTCATGGTTCAACATTCAAAGTTTGAGGTGTAGACCATACATTTTAGAAAATTCCAAACTGATTATTTATTAAAATATGTAGGCGTAGGCTTTTCCTAGTGTTTTTCGTTTCTTCGGTTGGCTATGTAAGTTCATCTCGTATGTTTTTGTCATTTTTGTTTTCTTCACCTCGCCTGCTGCCGTTCCCTCCTTCTCCACCTCCTTGTTCTCCCTCCGCACCGCCTGCAGCGGCAGGTAAAGAAGTTGCACCAGTCATCGGCGGCCGTAGAGAGGAGGTTGACCTCGGACGCTTCAAAACAAAAGAGGCGAGCCTGCGCGCCGCAGCGCTCGGACACCGCGCGAGCGCCTGCGCCTCCGCCTCCGCTTCTCGCCTGTTCGACTTGTCTGTCCCCTCCGTGGCGGTTCGCTCTGTGCAAGTCGGTACTTAGCCAAAGTTTTGGCAGACGCGGGTGACACGTCTCGGAGGGCAGCGGTTCCGAAGCCTTGTCGGGAAGTGTTTCTGAGAACATTGCTGGGCGGCCGCCGCGGCGACCTTCGCGACACGGCGGGCGCGGCGGCGGCGGCGGCGCAGAGCTGGGCGGTTGGAGCAACAGCCGTCTGGAGCGGTGGCCACAGGGCGAGGTCATTGCTGTGCCAGGTAATTTTGAGCTTCCGTTGCCAGTTATCAGTGCTCAATTTGTCCTTATCTTAAGTGAGCAAACCAACGACAAATGGCGCCTAGGTGAAGACGCCCTTTTCTTTAGTTAGTAAGTACGTCTTGATTTCAAATGTCAGGGTATTGTTTAATTCAAGACGCACCTCTTTTACTCGTGTGTTTTGGGACATATAGTGATTTCAAGTGCATTTTAAGTGAACAAAGTGTTTAAGCGTGATGTGAAAAAAAGAAACTGTCAAGAAAATAAGTTTCCTGTGACGTTTTATTGGATTATGTGGAAGATTTCTTCTCTGCATAGAGCGAGGGTTCGAGCCTTTGCAGTGTCTAGAGCAGCAAAGCTCCTGCCGCGGTCGCAGCACGTGTGTTGACGTGGGAGCGCGATCCTTCACGCCATCTCGCGAGTGACCTCGCAACTAGCGAGCAGGGCGCAGGTGCGAGCGGAAGGAGGAGGAGGAGAAGCAGATGATGGTGGAGAAGCAGGAGAAGGAGAAAGATCAGAGGGAGGGGGACTTGGGCGTTCCTTTCCCGCGCCGCTCTCCGGAGACTCAGTCTTCCAGCGAATGCGAGAAGGGGGTGCTCGATGGTGACCTTGGATCAAATATCGACAAGGGCTGAGACATGCTTACATTGATGATGGCACAAGGGCGTTGTCGCACTTGTGATAAAACGAAGAGAGGTCAAGTGGGTATAAATTCTGGAGATCAAAGTTCAAGAAACTGTTTTCTTGGACAGTAGTTTATTTATGGGGACATTGTTAACAATGCATTGTCCATTTTTGTTTACATTTTTGATATAGTGATGATTTGTTGAAATATACTCTTTCTCGTGTATTGGAACCCAAGTTCAGTGCAATCTGTTGCTGTTACCTTATAGTTGTCATTAAATAATTGCTAAACAACTATTATTTCGATATATAGTTAACTCTTGTCGTTTTGAAACCACTATGAGAACCCATTTGTGATTGTTAGAAATATTTTATTCGTTGTAGAAATTTTTATATCAACATTTGTAGAGAAATCTTTCAGAAACTCTTTACCCGATGCGTACGTATTTGTAGTGCTTTGTGAAAGTCCAAAAGAGGAGGAAGCGGATTCGGTAGCTATCTTTGTGTATGCCAACTTGTGCTTAGCACATGATTGAATTGTTTCGACAGTAAAGACATTTTGGCCGTAGCCAGCAGTCTTCGTGATTGTGCCAAATATTTTGCAGTTCTGC